TGTAGAGGTAGATAATGGGTTCTATTTTGGGCATGTTGAATTTGAGATACAAGTTAATAGGGCATTCACATGGTGACACCTAGTAGACATCTGAATTAAAGGTCAAGAGCCAAAGAGATCTGAATTAGAGATGATGGTATCATCATTCATTCATTCAACTGTTGTTATTTACCCACTATGTCGCTGGAGCTCTGGTGGCACAATGATTAAGCACTTGGCTGCTAACTAAAAGGTTGGCGGTATGAACCCACGAGCCACTGTGTAGAAGAAAGATGTAGCAGTCTGATTCCTTAAAGATTTACAGCCTTAGAAACATTATGGGGCAGCTCTACCCTGTCCTGTAGAGTTGACAGATGAGTCAGATTGACAATGGAATAGAATTGAGAGTCCAGGGGAAAAAAAAAAAAACACCCACTGTATGCAAAAGAATGAAATTGGACCTTTAACCTTATACTATATATAAAAATTAACTGAAAATGAATCACCTAAATACAAGACCTAAAACTTTAAAACTCTGAAAAGGAACCTAGGGTAAATCAGATAAATTGGATTTCATCAAAATTAAAGATTTTTGTGCTTCACAGGACATGATCAAGAAGTTGAAGAGACAGCTAACAGACTGGGAGAAGACATTTGTAAATCATATATTTGATAAGAACATACAAAGAACTCTTACAACTGAATCATAAAATGACAGATCATGCAATTGAAAAATGGACTAAGGTTCTGAATAGACATTTCTTTAAGGTCTTACAAATGGCCTATAGGCACTTGAAAACATGCTTGACAGCATTAGCTATCAGGAAAATGAAAATCAAAACCACAATGAGATACCACTTCACATCTACTGAGATGTCTATTATCAAAAAGTCAGATGATAACAAGTGTTAGTGAGGATGTAGATAAATTGAAACCCTCATACACTGCAGTTGGAATATAGAACATTACAACCACTTTAGAAAACAGTTTGGCAGTTATTCAGGTGGTTAAACATAGTTACCATATGACCTAATAATTAGGTATCTTCCCCCAGAGAAATGGAAACATACGTGCACATATGTGCTTGCACATGAGTGTTCAAAGCGGTTCATAAGAGCTCAAAAATAGAAACAGCCCAAATATCCATCAACTGATGTGATATATCCACACAATTGAGTATTTTTCAGTAATAAAAATGAATCAAATACTGATACGTGGATGAATCTTAAAAACATACAAAGTGAAAGAAACCTATCACAAAAGACCATTTGTTGTATTATTCCGTTTATTTGAAGTGTCCAGAAAGGCAAATCTTTAGAGATAGAAATTAGGTTAGTGGTTGCTTAAACCACCCCACACCCAAAAAATAAAAACAAAAAACTCGTTGTCATCGAATTGAATCTGATTCCTAATGCCCCCATAAGACAAAGTAGAACTGCCCCATAGAGTTGTGCTGTAAATCTTTACAGATGCATAGACCTCTTCTTTCTCTCTCATAGCAGCTGGTGGGTTCAAACGGCCAGTCTCTTGGTTAGCAGCTGACTGTTTTAACCACTGTTCTACCAGAGCTCCTTAATAGTGCTTTTTTTAAACGAAACAAAACACTGCCTTTGAGTCAGTTCCAACTCGTAGAGATCCCTGCTGGGTTTCCAAGGCTGTAAATCTTTTATGGAAATAGATTGCCTCATCTTCCATCCATAGAACAGTGGGTTTGAACCGCTGACCTGGTTAGCAGTCAAATGCCTTACCCTCTTGTGTTAGACTGGGTTCTCTAGAGAAGCAAAACCAGTAAAGCTTATAGAGAGAGAGAGAGAAAGAAATTTATCTTAGGAAAATGGCTCACACACTTACAGAAGTTGGCAAGTTTCAAGTTCTTGGATCAAACATGAATCTTTTCCCAACTCATGCAGCAGCAGGGGCTGAGGAGCTCAAGGTTGGCAGGCAGTGTACTGGCTGTTGACTCCAACGAATGACGAATCCAAGATCACCAGGCCGAATGGTGGATTGTTCGCTCACGGACAGTTGTAGGGAGCACAACAGAATCCCGATCCACAGAAGAGAGTCTCTTTTCCCAGGATGTCCATAAATATACTGGAAGCAGACCACACCCCTAGGGAAACTCCCTTTCAATGGATTGGCTGCTCAAAACATACACATCTGATTCCATTGTGAGAACAACCCACATCACAGTTGCTTAAACCACACAGAATTGTGGTCCAGCCAAGTTGACACACAGCTCCAACTATCACACCTCTACACCAGAGCTCCTTTTTTAGTGGTTGTTCAGGGCTGAGCATATCAAAGATGGAGATGGCTTAGGATGAGGCAACATTTCATTCTGTTATACATAAAGTTACCATGAATTTGAGCTGACTTGATGGCAACTAATAACAACAGCAGGGCTGAAGGGAGGGCTTAGGGGCTGTAACTGCTGACTCTGGGTTTCCTTTTGAGGTGATAAAAATGTTCTAAATTTGTGATCAGAGTTGCACATATCTGTGTATATACTAAAATCCATTGACTCATACATTTCAAATAGGTCAACTGTATAATCTGTGACTGTATTTCAATAAAGCTGTCATTTAAATCATCACTCATATCAAAGTCTAATGTAACATTTAAAATGAGAACAAGTTTTCTTAAACAGAGCCATTTAAAATACTATACTGTGGTCTTTGCACTCTGTTTTAACCACTCATGTTAAGCAGTACTTGGGGTTATCTGATTTAGCCCACTCTGGCAGTTAGTTTTGAGACTGGTTTTTGCTTTTGAGGTGTTGATGGTGGCAGTTGGTTTTTATCCTGAGGGGAACATTTGGATTTTTTTAAAATCTGAAATTCCCAATAATTACTACCCTTTTAAAAAATGAACAGAAGGGTCACTACCGTATGAGAGAAATGTTTAGTTTTCAACTGAAATGTTGTCAGAGTGTGAGAAATAAAATGGCTGCTTAGGTGCTTATTTTAATTTTTATTTTATAAGGACAGAAAGTCTTAAGAAACAGTGTTCAGTTTGGACTTTTCCTCTTATTCTACATGTGTAGCTATCCTGCAATTTGTAGATGCATTGAAGTGAAACTAGCTACTATCAGCCAGAATTGTTGAATAATAAGAATATTTTGAAGTTTTAAAACTACAGTTGGGATCGAGAGAATCTTATGTTCCTGGGGTCCTCTTTTATCACATTATTGAGAATTCGGTTTTCTTTGTATATTATAAACAATGATGATTACCTAAGGCACTTGACTGCCAACCAGAAGGCTAGCAGTTCAAACCCCCAGCCACTCCTTGGAAGGAAGGCTGGGCAATCTACTTCCGTGATGATACCACCTCAGAAACCCAAGGAGGGGTCACTATGAGTTGAGTCCAACTCAACAGCACATAACAATAACAAGGTCTTGTAGTTAACTACAATGGTAATCATCATATATAAATAACTTTTTATTATGGGAAAATATATGTAAGATCCCTCGTCCTATGACAAAAGCGGGAGCTCTGGTAGCATAGTGCCTAAGGCACTTGCTGCTAACAGAAGACTGGCGGTTCAAACCCACCAGCCACTCATCGGAAGGAAGGTGGGGCAATCTACTTCCGTAGTGATACTGCCTCGGAAACCCAGGGAGGGGTCGCTATGCGTTGGGTCCGACTGGACGGCACATAACAATAACAACATGACAAAAGCACCTCAGTTGCTAAGCTAGTATTTATGTATGTATTCTGTGCCTCTGTGTGTATATTGTGTGTGTGTGTGTGTTTGGTGATAAATCCCTTACCAGCATATGGCGTCAATGATTCTATTCCTTAATTGTTGACTCTGTTTTATACAAGGATCAGATCTCCTACTCTGTAATACAGCATTTTGCTTACTGACAGTGTGGACTATTTGAAGTTAGTGATTCATGCATAACATAATATAAATATGAAATTTATCTATAATAGAGTAAATGCAAATACATATGCAAATTCTAACTGACGTAAGTTGTATTTTAAAACCTCATGTTAACTTCATTATTTGAAACTTGAAAAATAATTTTCTTATAGAACAGTGTAACAGATGTACTCAAGTTCTCAGGCTAGTCCCATTGTAGTTAACTACAAGACCTTGCTGTTGTTGTTATGTGCTGTCGAGTCGGACTTGACTCATAGTGACCCCTCCTTGGGTTTCTGAGGTGGTATCATCACAGAAATAGGTTGCCCAGCCTTCCTTCCGAGGAGTGGCTGGTGGGTTTGAACCGCTAGCCTTCTGGTTGGCAGTCAAGTGCCTTAGGTAATCATCATATATAAATAACTTTTTATTACGGGAAAATATATGTAAGATCCTGGATCAGAGAGCCAGAAAAGGACAGCTTGCTTCTTTTCTTCCTCCCAACCCTGTTCACTTTATAGCTACAAAAGGACATTGCCGCTAACTGGGCCAGAGCTCCCTGACTGACATTCCTGAAGTGAAGGGAGAAGAAAGGCTTTGTGCTGTGGACAGGGGTGGCAGACATTTGAACAGAATGGATAGGAAGTGGAAGCAGGGCCTGTCCGCCAGTGGACATTTTATATATATGGGGAAGTCAGGAGTCTAAAATAGAATATCATTTCTTTATTTCTTAGATCATTCACTAGGGGAGAACTAGTCATAGAAACGTTCATTATTGCATCAACTTACAACAGTGAAAATGTAACAGCGGTTTATAAGGTAGATTTAAATAAATTATAAACTCATCAACTCAGTGGAATTTAGAAATCTTCATTATGCAGCAGTTTAGAAAACAGATTAATATAATATGTGCTGGAGAGGGAAGGCAGAAAACAAAGCTATATTTGCATAATAATTATACTTACATATAGTTATAATTATTGTTAGGTGTAAGTTGTAGGGAAAAGAAACCCTGATGTTACAGTGGTTAAGCACTTGGCTGCTAACTGAAAGGTTGGAGGTTCAAACCTACCAGCCACTCCAGGGGAAAAAAAGACCTGGCAAAAACCCTGTTGTTGTTGTTGTTTGCCGTTGAGTCGGCCCCGACTCATAGCGACCCCTCCTTGGGTTTCCGAGGCAGTATCACTACGGAAGTAGATTGCCCCATCTTCCTTCCGAGGAGTGGCTGGTGGATTTGAACCGCCAGCCTTCTGGTTAGCAGTTAAGTGCCATAGCCACTATGCTACCAGAGCTCCCTAGGAAACCCTATAGGGCATTTCTACTCTGTCCTGTGGGTCCCTATTAGTCAGAATTGATGCAGTGACACAAAGCATCAACAAGATAGGTATAAAAAACCCAAACCATCGAGTTGACTCCAACTTAAAGGAACTGGGTAGGGCAGAGCAGACTGCTGCCCCATAGTTTCCAAGGCTATAAATCTTTATGGAAGCAGACTGCCACGTCTTCCTTGCGTGAAACAGCTGGTGGGTTCAAACTGCCAACCTTTTGGTTAGTAGCCAAGTGTTTAACCACTGTGCCACCAGGGCTTTTTAGTTAGATATATACATAGGGATGAATATTGGAGAGGAGTCAGAGACGACTCAGTGGCACCTAATAGCAACAATATATAATGGTAGCAAATACATTGAGAGTATTGGGTGGGGTTTTTAACCACTACCTTCTGTTGTTAAAAAATATATATAATTTAAAAAGTTTTTTTTTTTACTCGAATGATTCCTTAATGTTATTTTTATGGCAATTTGAAGAAAACGTTTTTTCTATTTCAGAACCTTTTGGTAACGTATTTTTGTACTTAGGTAATTATGATAAGAAATGCAGACACAATTGAATTTTATAGTGCATAGTAATTGTCTCTTTGCATAGATAACATTCAGGGATAAAATAACGTTTTTGTTTTTAATGTTCTCTTTTGTTTCGTAGGGCAAAGCTGTTGGGGTGGCTATTGGCTGCATATTAGGAATGTTCCCCTTGCTTTTCTTTGGAGGAGGTGAAGAAGATGAAAAACTGGAAGAGGAAAAATAACCCTCTTAGAATACCTAGAAAAAGATGTAAACTAATGTACCTCAATTATTAAATATGCTGTCTCAAAATTTAGGAATTATGACAGTAACATTGTATAGATATGGGATCAAATAATTCAGCATGTATTATGGAAAACACTAACTTATTGTGGCTTGGTCTCCTTAGGACATCTTTTTAAAAAATGGTTTAGTAATATTTTATGTAAATTGTTGAAAATGCTTCCTCATCACTGGCAGTCAACATTTTACATTTTCCTTTTCTTTCTTTACACGTCAAAACTATTATTTAAGTATTAGTCACTGATGTACTGTACTGACTTGGGGTTTGTTACTTAACATGTGTACATGCATGAGGGCTTTTGTTGTTGTTGTTTTCTGATGGTTACACTTTAAGATTTTTCCAAATTATTTAAGATGCTTAATATCACTTAGATTTTTTTTTTTTTTAACTCTTTTTGGCAACATCAATTTTGGACTGTTTCCACAGTAAACAAATCCAGTCATATAATTTCATTCATTTTCTTAATTCTCAGATCCATCCAAAATGGACACAATTTTAAAAATATTTCAATTATTACTTATTTTAATTTTCTGACCTTACTGTCTTAAGAGCCAGAGGTTAAGAAGAATGATCATGTATGGTCTCCCTACCACACAGAACCATGTATGTTAACAAGTGTACTTGCTTCTAGTTGATTTTTTAAATCTAATTTCCCAGTTTTGAATAATTATGTGGTACGTTCTGACTCCTGATATGAGGAAAGTTATTATCTTAGAGTCTTTTTTAATGGGGATTGTGGAATTAGGATGAACTAAAGGATTTAACACAAGTCTTGGAAATTAAGAGGCTAAAAAACATTGTATACAAGTACAAATTGGGAGCTGTTTAGAAGGTTTAGGATGTAAGTGGTGAAGCTAAAGAGATGTTTGTAAGGTCAGTGAGACCCAAATTATATCTGAGAGGGATCTTTTCTTTCTAAAGTGTTTTCTTCTTATCTGAATTGAATGTGTCTGAATACTCCATATTCATAATCTCGATGCCATTATATCTTGTTCAGTGAATTTTATTTCTAGATAACTTCTTTTGAGGTGAAAACTAAATATTTTATACTTTGCCTTTTTTGCTATATAGTCTCATAGTCAAAAGTTACATGGAACAGCCTTTCTCCCTCTTTGGAACTTTGTATTTCTTTTGTGGTGTGTAAAGCATCTTGTGGGTTAAAGGTATTTACTCCTAGTCTTGTCTTTCTGGCTTCAGTGTAATCATGTGAATCATTAATTTTAATTTTCTGAATCCTTAAAAAGCTTTTTTAGCATGTGACCTATTACACTTAAAAATTACTCTTTTAAGAGTAATTAAACACATCATGGAGGAGGGAAAATACATTTATTATTATTAAATTTAAAATTAAATTTATTATTTTGGCCACTGAAATTATGCTGCTAAATAGATGTAAAAGAAGGAAAACGCATGAGGGCTGTGTGTACAGCAGTCTTGAGGTTTTTTTTGCTCATGTTTACTTACAACTCTTATTTTCAGATGAACTAGTTTTTTCCACAAAGCAATTTGTCATAAATTCTCTCCTATGCATTTCAAAATGGTTAAGTGCTATCCTTTCATCATGGACTTTGAGGGGGAAAAAAGAAAATAGTTATATGACATTATTATTATACACAAAAAATTTGACAGTTTTATTTGATCAGATCAGAATGACAGAACTTGAGATCTTAAGCAGAATTGTGGTTTGTATCATCCACATAATTCCACACATATATAACAAAAAAATTATTTTAACATTTTTATGTAAAAATGCTGTTGTCCCTGACTTGAATACTGCTAGTCAGTTTCTGTTTTCTAAGATGGTATTTTATTGTGGCACTTAAAATTTTTTCTTATCCCAAATCCACATCTAGAAATCTTGCCTATGAGTTTAGAAAGGGCTTTTGCTAACTGGTTTCTTTCTTTGCTTTTGAACATAATCCAGTCCTACAGAATCTGTCAGTTGAACATTCAGAATTACAGCATTAAAACATATTGAAAGATATTTTACTTCATGGAGAAAATTACAATTTGAATCAGGTAATTAATTTGAAAAAAAAAAAAAAGAGCCCTTTTATTGTGACCGAAAGAAAAAACCCCACTGCCATCGAGTAGATTCCAACTCATAGCGACTCTTTAGGACACAGTAGAACTGCCTCATAGGGCTGCCAAGGCTGTAAATCTTTACCAAAGCAGACTGCCTCATCTTTCTCCCATGGAGTGGCTGGTGGGTTTGAACCTCTAACGTTTTGGTTAGCAATCAAATGCTTTAACAACAATGCCACTAGAACTCGTGTTGTTGACTGAAGATACACATTATTCAAGTTTTTATCCTATGCTAGTATGGTGCTGTGCACAAAGTTATTTCTGAAGCATTGTTCTTTTTGATAAAGGTAATGACTTCATATAATAGTTATTTTATGTTACTTGTCACGATTTTCAAACTGGAACTGGAATTCTTTGTTTCTCCTATTATTTCTCTGTTAGAAGCACTAGAACTGTGATTCACATGAGCTACATTAGTACTGTTTGGAATTTATGTTGTCCATGTATTATGATTTATTGACTTGTTGATGCATGTAAATTGAGTGCATATTATTGCCACTGTATGTTAAATGGTGACCAATGTTTTTACAAAGACAAATTGAACAAAAAAATCTTTTAAGAAATTTGAAATGTGGTCTTGATTTTGCAATTTGATTTTCTTCCTAATCTCAGAGTCCTGGTTATCCTGATTATTCCTTCACTAAATGAAATAGGATTAATAAGCACAAAATTGTTACAAGTCTGGAAATATGCCTGAGACAGTGATATGAAACTAATTTACCACCACTTTTTTTTCTTTCTTTTAACTTTTTAGTGATTTGGGTGATAATTACCACTTTCTGAAATCCACAATTGAGATACAACATTACAGAATGTGACAGATAGTGATCCCATATTGAGATAATTAGATCTTTAATGGTACATCAGAAAAAGCTCTAGCAATGTTGGAATAAATCACACAGATGAGTATTTATAGCACAGACACCCCAGCTGTTCATATACTAATGCCTCGTCTACTTAACCTCTTCTTTATAAGATGAATTTTGAAGGTAATGGAAATTTATCTTCAAATAACAAGTTTGTTTAAACCAGTTTTAATGTTAGAAATGTATTTCTTTGCCATCTTCAAGCAATAAATTTAATGTAACACTTTTCTTAATGGCTTAGCATAATCTTCATGGACATTATTGTACTGTAATGCAATACCTTGGGAGTTTTCATAGTTTTTTCATTTTCCTCCCATATTTTGCAACTCTCCCTTCTGCAAATGACTCTGTCTCCCTAATTTGTTGCTTCCTTGCTGTATAGACCTAGGAGTAAGATAGTCAGTCTGACCATACATTGTTTGGGGAATATCAGAAAACAGGCTATAGATCCACAGTATTATCTGTGAGTGAATGATAATAATAACATTGTTGTTGTTATGTGCCATTGAGTCGGACCCAACTCATAGTGATTCCGAGGCAGTATAACTACGGAAGTAGATTGCCCCATCTTCCTTCCGAAGAGTGGCTGGTGGGTTTGAACCGCCAGCCTTCTGGTTAGCAGTCAAGTGCCTTAGGCACTATGCTATCAGAGCTCCCATAATAACATCAGTGCTCTTT